AAAAAAAAAACTTTTCTCTGTAAAGATGGGTAATTATCAGAAGATGGGAGCCTGATTGTAAGATGTTCTTTCTTCCTTTTTAGCTAATTGAACCGCAAACGTTTTTTAAATATAACAGCTGCTTAAATAATGTTGAGGAGAAATTGGTCTTAAGAAATGTCTTCCAATATTTGGTAAGTTACCAGTTCTAGTACATGTGGGGACAAGGGGACAATGAATTGTAACACTAGTGGGCTCACCTTAATTATACCCGTCAACTGTCCTGAGCGCCCTCATTACTCTGTTGAGCTTTTCTTTTGAAGCAGACACTTTGGATGGAAGAATGAACGAAACACATTTCCTGCCCTCAAGATGTTCAAAGTGTAAGAGACAAAGACAGACATGTAAACAGATGGCAGGAATAAGATGCGATCAAGGCTATAGTGGAGTTTTGCACAGAGGGTGATAGGGAAGCACAGACTAGAGGACGTCCAACTTCCTGGAGGTGTCAGAAGAGGCTTCACAGAAAAGAGGACTTTCCAGCTGGGTCTGAAAGGATCTGTAAGAATTTGCCAAGCAGAGAAGGAAAGGGTGCAGATTTCAAGCAGAGGGAAAAGTATGGTTAAAGGTACAAAAATGAAAGAAAGGTGTATCCATCCGAATAGTGCGGTGACAGTCCCCAAATCTCAGGGGCTTGTAATAACAAAGGTTTGTTTCCTGCTGGCAGAGCAGCCACCATTTTGAACTTCACTGGTCGTTAAGGCAGAGGGAAATCAAGCCAGGTCTGGTGCCAGCAGTTAATTGCTCTGTCCTGGAATTGACACACATCACATCCCCTCGCAAGTGATTGGCCAGAGCTAGTGACAGCCTCACCCAACCACAAGGGGGCCAGGAAGTGCAATCATATCATGTGTCCAGAAAGTGGAAATCCAGAACTATCTGGCCAAGAGGACTAATGACCACCCAGAGGTACCACAGAGGGTGATGTGTTCAGAAAGTGGTGCTGTGTGGGTGGATGGGTGTGCAGTGCACAGAGAAGGAAACAGATGAAGCTGGAGAAAACTTGAAGGATCTGTTTGTGAAAGGCCTCAACTGTCCTTCCTTTGAGCCCCAAA